CGGGCCCTAGGCCAACAACTGGCATCCTTATAAGAGGAAGGGAATTTGGGCACACAGACATACAGAGGAAGGACAGCCATCTGAAGACACACAGACACATAGGGAGAAGACTGTGGGAAGACGGAGGCAGAGATTGGAGTGATGTATCCGCAAGTGAAGTATCCGAGGGCTGAGGGTTGCTGGCAATCACAGAAGCTGGGAGAGAGATTTTCACTCAGGGCCCCTAGAAGGAACCCACCTCAAACCACCTTAGCTTTGGGCTTCTAAGCCTCCAGAAGTGTGAAAGAATAAGTGTCCATTGCTTTAAGCCACCCAGTTTGTGATACTTCATTATGGCGACTTCAGGAAAAGAATACAGTGGGCAAGTATAGAGGAAGGAGGCTATTGCAAAGGTCCAGTCGAAAGAGGATGAGGGCCAGAGGAGCGGTGGTAAAGGTGCAAATGGTGAGAAGCTGTCGGATTCCGGACACATAAGGAAGATATGGCCAACAGAATTTGCTGAAGTATAGGATATGGGTGTGATAAATGTTAGCTATTATTATTATCTGCACAAATGGTTTATCCACATGTAATACATGCTTATGAGCCAGACATGGTGGCTCATGCCAATAATCCCAGCACTTTGGGAGGCTGAGGCGGGCGGATCACCTGAGGTCAGGAGCTCAAGACCACTCTGGCCAACATGGTATAACTCCGTCTCTACTAAAAATATAAAAAATTGGCCATGCATGGTGGCACGTGCTTGTAATCCCAGCTACTCGGGAGGCTGAGGCAGGAGAACCGCTTGAACCTGGGAGGCGGAGGTTGCACTGAGCTGACATCACGCCACTGCACTCCAGCCTTGGTGACAGAGTGAGACCCTGTCTCAGTATATATATATGCTTATAAATGTATATGTTTTCATTGTCCCAAATAGCCCAAGTTTGAAGCTACTAAAACTAGGATCATTTTCCAGGGCAATCAAAAGCAGCCTGTTTTGTTGCACGATCAAAGAAAAAGTCACATTACTGTCTCTGGGCCTCAGTCTCCTACGTGGTGAAATAAGAAGGCTGGGCTCCACCGTCTAACTGTATAATGCTATTAATATCATATGAAGCACTTTGTCGCCTTAGTATTCTTATATCTTCCAGAGGATAGTGTTTTCTGACTTACATATTTGAAAACCTATCTCCAAGTCTGCAGTAGCTTTGAATAACAAAACTCCCTTTCCTCATCGTTGTTGATCCTCTGCCATCTGATACCTCCCGTACAAGGAGTGACCCACCAGATTTAAAAAGATAATTACAGCAAGACCAAAGTACTCCTGGTGCCTTTTATTCATGAATATGGGGGTGGTGTGGAATTGCTTGGTGAGAGTCTGAAACTCTACCTGAAATAAAGGTTTGGAATTCTGGATCTCAAGATTTCTGACTCCATTTTCCAGAAGACACCCTGAATTATCACCGACAGCGAATATATATTTCTATTTTAGGAAAGTAATGAATGTATAAGGCAAGATAATAATAAGAATAGTGAACAATTATATAGGATTTACTCTGTGTCAGGTACCTCTGTAAGGGTCTTAAAAACATGAACTCACTTGATCCTCACAACACTCATGAGTCAAGTACAATTAGCATTCCCATTGTACAAAGGAGGAAAGTAAGGCACAGACCAATTAAGAAATATTCCTTTATTATACTAATAAGGGATCTTACCTTAAGCAAAAATGAATGGGATACTTGGAAAATCATTAAAACAAATAATAGGCCTGGTGTGGTGGCTCACGGCTGTAATCCCAGCACTTTGGGAGGCCCAGGCAGGCAGATCACTTGAGGTCAGTAATTCAACGCTGGCCTGGCCAACATGGCAAAACCCTGTCTCTACTAAAAATACAAAAATGAGCGGGGCATGGTGGTGCAGGCTTGTAATCCCAGCTATTCTGGAGGCTGCGGCAAGAGAATCACTCGAACCCAGCAGGCAGAGGTTGCAGTGAGCTGAGGTTGCACCACTGCACTCCAGCCTAGGTGACAGAGAAGTGAGACTCTGTCTCAAAAAAAAAAAAATACATGCACATGCATAGCAATTTGGAGAGTCAACATCAAGGGAAGAAGTTTTGTCAGAGTCCCACAAACTCATTCTGAAGGAGTCAGTCAATAATAAAACACACATTGACAAGTTTTATTATATTACTGACTGATGATTTCTGCCTCCAACCCTTGTTGACTTTGGTTCTCTAAAGAGGAAAAAGGGGATTGAGAACTAGGCCTCAGGGCACCTGAATGAAGCTTTGCCAGCTCCCAGACACCTGTTACGTCCAGTTCCCAAGAAGTGTTGAAGCTTTGAAATGTATCCTGGTGTTGTTCCTAAGTCACTCCCTTGCTAGGTCTTTGGTAAATTAGATTGGCACTTTTTAAAAGTTCTTAAACCTCCTTTCACTTGAAATTCCAAAGCCAATATTTCCTTTTACCCTCACGCTTCCTAGAAAATATTAAGAATCACTCTTGCTGCTATTTCAGACACCACAGATCCACAGTTTCAGGTCTCACAGCCTTGGTCAGGTCCATCGTGGTGGTGGAAGGATTAGTACTGGGAAACCAGGCTAATCAAAATCTGAGAAGATAATTTAATGTTTATTTATTTATTTAATTATTTTGAAATGGAATCTCACTCTGTCGCCCAGGCTGGAGTGCAGTGGTGCAATCTTGGCTCAATGCAAGCTCCACCTTCCAGGTTCAAGTGATTCTCATGCCTCAGCCTCCCAAATAGCTGAGATTACAGATGTGTGCCACCAAGCCATGCTAATTTTTTTGTATTTTTATTAGAGATGAGTTTTCACCTTGTTGGCCAGGCTGATCTTACACTCCTGATCTCCTCAGGTAATCTGCCCACCTCAGACTCCCACAGTGCTGGGATTATAGGCATGAGCCACTGCGCCTGGCATATTTATTTATTTTTTAAGACACAGTCTGGCTCTGTTGCCCAGGCTAGAGTGCGGTGGCACGATCTGAGCTCACGCCTCCCAGGTTCAAGCAATTCTCCTGCCTCAGCCTCCTTAGTAGCTGAGACTACAGGCATGCGCCACCATGCCAGGCTAATTTTTGCATGTTTAGTAGAGACGGGGTTTCACCATGTTGGTCGGACTGGTCTCGAACTCCTGACCTCAGGTAATCTGCCCGCCTTGGCCTCCCAAAGTGCTGGGATTACAGGCTTGAGCCACCGTGCCCGGCCCTGACCTAACGTCTTTAGAACTTTGGTCAGAAGTCAGCTCTTTGTGCTAATGCTTGAGGGTGTGCGTGGGGATGGAGGGTGGGGTGGAACTCCTGCTCAGTTAGCACCAAATCCTGGCAACCTTCCGGAGCAAACTCTCCAACATGTCATGCTAATAACAGCAGACCTAGGAATTGGCCCAATGCCATGCCCTTTTGACCCCCATGCAGTCACAGTGACCAGGTGGCTTTGTGACTCACCCAGACCCTCTGTAATAATCCCACTGCAGGTGGGGCTGCCTTGCAGTTTCTGGCCCCTTCCCACTCTGACCCAGGTCTCCTCCCAGGAGCTCTTAATTCTTGCCAGGCAGAAGCCGCCGCGGTACCCGCTCCATCCGGCAGGCATGCTCAGTCCTGGGGCCAGGTTTTGACTGCGGGACCGGCAGCACCCGGCCAGCGGTGAGCGCCACGGGTGCGGGTCCCTTTAAATCGGGCTAACCCGTTGCTAGGCGACCGTGCTGCCCGCTCTGGCGCTGCACTGCGGAGACTCAGCCCCGAGCCGGCCCGGCTGGGTCGCTGTGATCAGAGCCTAACTAGGGGCTGCCATGCGCCAGTGGTGGCTCCTTTAAGGAAGAGAATATCTGGTTCTCCAGACCGCACCCACGCTTCCAGGTTTGTCTGCGGACGGGAAAGCCCGGGCTCCCCGGGGCTCGCCCCTCTTCTTCCCGGACGCAGGGGACGAAGGGGCAGGGAGGCTTGGGCAGGTGCCCAAGTGCGCGCCCCGACCCCCAGGGCAGGTTACTTCTTTCCTTGGAGCCCCAGGCCGTGGCTGGAGAGCGTTTGGGAGGGAAAGGACCAGGGTGTGGGAGTGGCAGTGCGGAAAGAGTGGGGTCAGGTCTTCACCTTACTGCCTCCAGGCAGTGACTAAAAGCCATGCCCTGAGTTGAGAGCTACTAAGCAACAGAGGGTAGTGACAGAAGGTTACTCAACAAGGGTTGGAGATGACCTTTTCCAACCAACATTCATTCCCAGTTTACAAAGTTTTACAGGAAAGACTCTTGTGAGATGGGAAAAAAGCCTTTGGCATTCTTCCAAAACTGTTTTCCAAAACTGTTTCTACCTTCTCTGCCTGGAAGAATAATGGAATTTTGCAGGCAGATCTAAATGTATGCAAAGAGATGGTCCGTCCTTCCGTCCTTCCTTCCTTCCTTCCTTCCTTCCTTCCTTCCTTCCTTCCTTCCTTCCTTTTCTCTCTCTTTCTTTTTGATGGATTCTTGCTCTGTTACCAGGCTGGAGTGCAGTGGCATGATCTGAGCTCACGCCTCCCAGGTTCAAGCAATTCTCCTGCCTCAGCCTCCCGAGTAGCTGGGATTACAGGCACGCGCCACCGTGCCCAGTATTTTTTTGTATTTTGAGTAGAGACGGGGTTTCACCATGTTGACCAGGATTGTCTCGATCTCTTGACCTCGTGATCCACCCGTCTCGGCCTCCCAAAGTGCTGGGATTACAGGCTTGAGCCACCGCACCCGGCCCTGACCTAACGTCTTTAGAACTTTGGTCAGAAGTCAGCTCTTTGTGCCAATGCTTGAGGGTGTGCGTGGGGATGGAGGGTGCGGTGGAACTCCTGCTCAGTTAGCACCAAATCCTGGCAACCTTCCGGAGCAAATTCTCCAACATGTCATGCTAATAACAGCAGACCTAGGAATTGGCCCAATGCCATGCCCTCTTGACCCCCCATACAGTCACAGTGACCAGGTGGCTTTGTGACTCACCCAGACCCTCTGTAATAATCCCACTGCGGGTGGGGCTGCCTTGCAGTTTCTGGCCCCTTCCCACTCTGACCCAGGTCTCCTCCCAGGAGCTCTTAATTCTTGCCAGGCAGAAGCCGCCGCGGTACCCGCTCCATCCGGCAGGCATGCTCAGTCCTGGGGCCAGGTTTTGACTGCGGGACCGGCAGCACCCGGCCAGCGGTGAGCGCCACGGGTGCGGGTCCCTTTAAATCGGGCTAACCCGTTGCTAGGCGACCGTGCTGCCCGCTCTGGCGCTGCACTGCGGAGACTCAGCCCCGAGCCGGCCCGGCTGGGTCGCTGTGATCAGAGCCTAACTAGGGGCTGCCATGCGCCAGTGGTGGCTCCTTTAAGGAAGAGAATATCTGGTTCTCCAGACCGCACCCACGCTTCCAGGTTTGTCTGCGGACGGGAAAGCCCGGGCTCCCCGGGGCTCGCCCCTCTTCTTCCCGGACGCAGGGGACGAAGGGGCAGGGAGGCTTGGGCAGGTGCCCAAGTGCGCGCCCCGACCCCCAGGGCAGGTTACTTCTTTCCTTGGAGCCCCAGGCCGTGGCTGGAGAGCGTTTGGGAGGGAAAGGACCAGGGTGTGGGAGTGGCAGTGCGGAAAGAGTGGGGTCAGGTCTTCACCTTACTGCCTCCAGGCAGTGACTAAAAGCCATGCCCTGAGTTGAGAGCTACTAAGCAACAGAGGGTAGTGACAGAAGGTTACTCAACAAGGGTTGGAGATGACCTTTTCCAACCAACATTCATTCCCAGTTTACAAAGTTTTACAGGAAAGACTCTTGTGAGATGGGAAAAAAGCCTTTGGCATTCTTCCAAAACTGTTTTCCAAAACTGTTTCTACCTTCTCTGCCTGGAGGAATAATGGAATTTTGCAGGCAGATCTAAATGTATGCAAAGAGATGGTCCTGAAAATTTGAGACCAAATCCCTCCCCCCTCCCTCCCTCCCTCCTTCCTTCCTTCCTTCCTTCCTTTTCTCTCTCTTTCTTTTTGATGGATTCTTGCTCTGTTGCCAGGCTGGAGTACAGTGGCAGGATCTCAACTCACTTCAACCTCTGCCTTCCACGTTCAAGTGATTCTCCTGCCTCAGCCTCCCGAGTAGCTGGGACTACGGGTGCATACCACCACATCCAGCTAATTTTTGTATTTTTAGTAGTGATGATGTTTCACCATATTGTCCAGGATTGTCTCGATCTCTTGACCTCGTGATCCACCCGCCTTGGCCTCCCAAAGTGCTGGGATTACAGGTGTGAGCCACTGCACCTGGCCCTCTTCCTTTTTTTTTTTTTTTTTTTTAGGAGACAGAGTGTTGCTATGTTTCCAGGGCTAGAGTACAGTGGCATTATCATAGTTCACTTCAGCCTAAACCTCCTGAGCTCAAGCAATCCTCCCACCTGAGTAGTTAGGACCAGAGGCATACACCATCACACCTATCTAATTTTGTTTTTAATTTTTGTAGACATGTGTCTCACTATGTTGCCCAGGCTGGTTTTGAACTCTTGACCTCAAGGTATCCTTCGACCTCTGCCTCCCAAAGCACTGGGATTACAGACGTGAGCCACCATACCCGTATAAATGGGATAAGGCAACAGAAAAAAAAAACTATTTGATTTATGTCATCAAATTTCCTTAAAGCCTGTGATTTAAAATATGAATATTTTAGAAAACAATTAAATTTCACGTCCACTTTAATATGATTATAGTGTCTGGGGCCCCACCTCAAAAATGAAACTGAGATGGTTTGTGGATTTCTCCTTTCAGGGTAAACAGTAGTGTATTATTTTCCGGAGCTATTTGAGACTAGATATGCATTCCTCTAAGGTTTTTATGGAACGGGGCACCTACAGGTCCATAGTAAATTATTGTTCTTTGCTTAGCTCTCAACATTTATGTTACATCACGTTATATTATAAATTCATCTTCGGTTTGTTTTATCAGTGGTTCTCAAATTCTTTAGGTGAATACAAACCACTTTCATGGGACAAGAGATCTCTTACACCACAAAAGTGTCCTATTACTTTGCCACTGCAAAAAGAAGTCACTCGAGGAGAAATGTTGATGTTTTCAGTGAGACACTAACTAGAACAATCAGGAGTCCATTATTAATTCATGTCAGACACAAATGAATAGATGCAGTCATGTTGTAGACACATATGCCTTGACAGTGCCGTCCTAAGGATTTCTGGGGGACTGCTGTCATAGAGGACTACTGACATTATTTTTGCCATATGACTGTATTGTTTTCCTGTGTTCTGGATTATTTGCTTCTAAAGAAGCCAGTTTTTCATCCCCATTGGGCCTCCTTCCCCTACCCCTCAGACCGTCGGTATCCAGTGTAGTGTTGGGTAGGCACTTATATTAACAAATGTCCGCAGTTGACTCACTAACAGGCATGCCTACACTTTCAGTAATGGCTTCAGGTTTGGTTTGCCTTATGCTGGAATAAATTACCTAGTCAAGTTTATTGAGAACAAAATGACTGCCAGGCCAGGGTAGAGGAGTGTCATTGCCTGAGAGCATATTCCTTGTTCTTGCCAGAGAATACTAATGCCATACTCATTCTGCATTAAAAAAACAAACAGTGCAATTTGTGAAGAGAAAATGAGATGGGCAGCTTTTACTCTGAGTCTAGGCTTTGCCACATTCTGTGACTCGATTTGGGAACAAGCTCCTAAAAGATATCTTGCCAATGAAAGAGAGAGAGCAAAAAAAGAGAGCAGCTCAGAAGCCCCTTGACCCTGCCCTGTGTAAGCCATGGGAGGGAAATTCCAAAAGGCTTTTCAAACCTTTCTCTTTCTGTTCTTTGAAATGTGACATGCAGTTCTCCTTACCCTCCCCCTTCACTTTTCCTCTCTTCTTTTGTGGCCTTTTTTGTAAAGACACCTAAGCTTTGAAAATAGTGGGTTGTTTTCTTTCAATTTGGGGAATGAAACCTAGCAGATAAATAAAGAAGAATTTTAGAACAAGCGCTGACCTGGGAGACAGAGTCCTCAGTTTTACTACTATGGGCTGTGTGGCCTTGGTCAAGTCATTTAACTTCTGTGGGCCTTAGTCGTTAGTGGACTCTTCCCATTTATGCAGCTGTACAGGGTTCACTGAAAGGCATTTCCTTTCAGACGCCCAGGAAATTATACAGACGCTCAGGGAAGAAATATAGTGTAAATTAAAAATTCTGTGTGCGTGTGTGCATATGTGTATGTGTTTTACCAGGGATTTATGGGATGGCTGGATGTAGAAGTGACTTTTTCAAGGAGCAAAATTATTAACAAAAAGAGTTTTCTATTTTAACCTTTATCCATGCCTAGACCTCCATCTCAGATGTGTCATTCTTGCTATCTCCAGATATAAAGTGGCCACACTTAAATTGTCCCTGTGCTCACCTCCTTCCTAATCAATCCCACCAATGCCCTTCATCCAGAATTAAGTAAGAGGAATAGTAATCTCTCTGCCATTGCTACCTGATCAGAAGCATTTTTATCATCTACAGAATTGTCTGGTAAAAACTGGACTGCTAAAAATGTGACTAGCAATTAACATCACCCTCTTTTGTCCTCTCTCTGTTCCTTTCCTCAATGATTGCTATAATAAGGCCTACTGTTTTGCATTTATATTTCTAGAGAGGAGGGAAACCAAGATAATGGTATTTCCCTTTAAGAACAGATCAGTCAATGATGCTTCCGAATGGCGACTCATAGAATAATAAAAGTCAGAAAGGAGTATTTCAAAAGAAAGAAGATGATATTCCAATGGCCAGTACATATTGTGAATTTCAAGGCTGAGTTTATCACTATGGTCTGAATGACCTCGAGAAAGCCTGGCTTCTGGCTTTTAGACCAATCACTTTAGTACCTTCACTGAACTCCATCTTAGGAATATGCTCACTTTCCCCTTTCCTCAAAGCTAAAGTAGTTGCCAGTAGGGATGTTCCCTGGGGGATGATGAGTTCCTTCCATCTTTTGTGAGGGAAAGGGGAGAGCCATGTTCAGTACCTGTAGGTATCAAGTTTATTCCTTCATTGCTCATAGTAAGGAAAACCTGTGTTATTTAAAATAAACTACTGTTGCTAAAAAGAAAGGGCTGGAGAGATAATACATGAAAAATAGTTATCTCAGGGCCATGATACTATGAAAATTCCTTCTTTTTGTGTGCTTTTCTGTATTCTCCAAAATTGCTATAAATAATCAACGAAAATATTAATTAAGAAATAAACACAACCTTTGCCATTTCTCGTTACCAGCAGAAAATTACATTTGAGTTCATAGGTAAAAGAGATGCTGGCATACTTTGATTTTTCTCCATGATGATAGTACAAATATATTTTGGTAAACTAATATATAACCTGAATAAAGTAACCCTCTCCTTCTCATCCTTTATGGCTGACCTCAGCTGGCAGTCGGTGGCTTCAGGTTCCAGTGGCCCTCCACATGCTGCCTTGGTTCTTCTTTCTCCCTTCTCTCAAAAGTAGTCACTTATCAAATATTTCACTGCTTTGGGAAAGCTGTACTTTAAGTATTCCCTTTGGATAGGGAAGACTCTTTTGGAAACAAAATAATCATCTTCATATTTTTATAAACTTGGGAAGTTGGTTGTGATTTAGTGTGCTAAATTTTCACCTAAAAGTACACTCAGAATCAATATCTTGAGAAAAACGCATTTGGTGGCATTAATATTTTCAGTTGTTGACATTAGGTTCTCCTCATGAAATTGCTGTCAAAACGGATAGAATTCTGTATACTTGGCAGTCTTGCCTAAAAGCAAAGCCCAAGACTGGAATAGCAAGAATTTATAGGTCAAGACAGAAGGGCATTTGGCGGAGTTAGTCATAAGGAAGTCTGCATGGTATACTTTACCAAAAGCAGCTCACATTTCATTAAGCCCTGATGTTTTAGTCACTTTCACGATTCAATTAACAATAGTCCAGTCCAAAAGAACTAGAAAGGCATAAGACACATCGAAAGCACAGGTATTACCAACATTAACCTATTAATTTCAAATCACTTGTATTATTTTAAAGCAGTCTGTTTTTATGTGTACACTTGTTTTCTTATAGAATCACTTTCTCTGTGTACAGTAAGTAGCTAAATATGTCAGTTTACTAGTTCTATTTCATAGGATCAGAGACTTTTAAAGCTAGAAGCATCTGTAGAACTTAGCTCATTTAGCCATTTCCGTTTCTAAATGAGGGAACTGAGGCCCAAGTCATTCAGCGAGTTTGAGAGAGAGCCAGCCCTCAAATGTTTAGATTCTTCACCCAGCATTCTTGTTTCTTTCTACTATACTAGCTACTAGTGTAAATAATGTACCTTGGTTTTAAATTTTGTTTTTCAGATATTGGAAGGATTGCCCAATGAAAATATTAATACAAGAAAACACTGGAAAGAGAAAATATTTACTCCTTTATCTAGTGCACGGGATGTTCTAGAAGGAACTTCTCATTGCGACTCTTCCTCTGAAGAAATGACAAGAGGCAACGGAAACGGAAATGAAGAAATATATCATTTTTCCGGCAGAAACTGTCAAGAAAAAAATAAATTTACTATGAAAGGATACATTTTCCAACTAAATGAAATAGAAAAAAAACCACGTATAGGAGAGAGGAAGGTAAACATTTCAAGGAATGACAGAGTCACAAATTCATCTTCCTACGAATCATCTCAGTTCGATGTGACAACGGAAGAAAGCCATAACAGCACGGAAGATGCAGAGAGCTGCAGGAAGTATGACGTACGATTACTGCGACAATACGTTAAGAATAAGTTTATTGAAAGAATGCATCCAAAACATTGCATGTGTTTTTTGAATGAAGAACTAGAAGAACTCGAAACGAAATGTAGAAAACCAGAAAATAAATTAGAAAATGTTGAAAAAGAATGTTTGTACTCCAAAAAAGAGGTATTCAGAAAACCTGTAAACTTTGAAGAAAGACACCAGTGTGGTTCACAAAGCGACTATGAACTTCAAACTTTAAGAAATGACGGGTCTGAGAAAGCAACAAATGCAAAGAGCTTAACTAAACAGCTCCAGCGAGCCACAGAGCTCATATGTGACTTAAGTAGGGAAAATAGAGATTTGAAAGAAACCCTTAAAAAGTTAAAGCATCAAACCGAGTTTGGATATGTGCTCCTAAAAGAAGAAATGCAATTTAATCGTGAATTAGAAATGGCAAAGATCCATAGACAACTCACCGACCTCAAGTATGAACTGAGAGCTGAGAAGCGCCTACGAGCAATAAATGACAGAGCCTTGGACTTGCTTACAAAACAGCTTGCCTGGATGTCAATATCAAGTATCCATAACCACTTTACTGGGCATTTTTTTTAAAACTTAAAAAAGTCCTTTCATTAGGCAAGTCATTGAGCCAAATCGTACTTTCTTCATGTACTACTTAAAATATATGTAGTAAAATGTAATTTTCATTTTTGGTGAATCACAGTATATACATTCACTCAAAAACACATATTGATTCACCAAATCATTTATGAATACAAATCAACAGCCGTTTTGTGATCTTGTAAGCAATATGTCCTTGGCACGTGAATATTGTTCCATCTGCTCATTGACGTTAACAATAAAAATCTTGTTTATGTGTATAAGCATAACATATGCTTGTGGGTCTTGTAACTGCCTGTTCAAATTCAGTGGGGTTCCAAAAATGTATCTGCTTGCTTTAGGGGTCTAACTTTAATTAGGTAGATACAAACATCTCTGGAAAAAAATGTAGTTTTTTCCCTCCCCCTGCTGTTTTGCCCAGGCTTTCTCCTTTGACCTGGCCACAGTTCCTATAGACTAGAAGACGACTTAGAGACATAGATAGCTGTGACCTTTGCTAGGCCTGCTCTTGTCAGCCGTGGCTTTTGTGTTTTCTTATGTTGACCAGTAAGGGGCGTTGTTTACACAGTTCTCCCCAAATTTCGACCAGGGGAAGGTTTGGAAGCTGCCTGCCCAGGTCACATCCCAAGCTGGCGGGGACTGCGGTGCAGTTGGATGTCATCTGGATAAACTTTTAGTGAGCTGGCTTGATTTATACGGTAATCCAGCTCTGTAAGGGGCCCAGGTGATGACAATTTATTTTACACTTACAAATGGAAAAAATGTACTGCCTCAGTCCTTTGGTGGAAGTGATGGGCCAGTTCATTCTTTACCATTTGTTTGTATCAATCATCAAGATACCCTGTAATAGGAGCTCTATTTGCTTGGTGTTTTTAAGCCTAATGAACCAAATGTAATTGCAGACTATAAGGATGGGATACAATTATAAGGATTTAGGTATCTTCCCTGTTGGGAAAATCACCAGACTGGGAGTCAGGACATTTGGCGTCTAATAACGGCTCTGCCAGTAACTAGTTAGTTCACTTTCTCCACCTAAAAGTCCTCATCTATAAAACAAGGCAGCAGATCTATCATCAAGATCCTGTTCAGTTTTAATGTTCTGGGATTTCACCTCAACGATTTTATTTGCAAGTGTAACTCTACCTATAAGGAAGTAAAACTCCTTTGGCATTGGATGCATTCAATTCTAATACTTTGGGGGACCTACTTTGCAGACCCCTTTTGAAAGAAAATATAAGCAAGATCCTTTATATAGTTTGAACATCTCCAAATACTATCAATAATAAATCAGTAGAGATTGTTTCTCTACGTTTCTCTTGTTTCCTTGGTTGGAGAAGGCACTGAATGGAGACTGACTAAGCTGACCTGGAGGCTGAACAAGTCTTGCCTTGCCTGGCAGGATTGGTGTACATTGGAAGATGCTAATCTTTGGAGCTTTCTGACTTAGTCCTGATAAATCTAACCCAGGCACTGTCGGCCTGCCTCAAAAGGGGAGATGACGTTCAGGTTTTTAGTGGTCACTGGCTTCTCACAAATGGTCTAGGTACAAAAGCAAACTAAGAACTCGTTGCCCTATTTTACTCTCTTCTTCATCACCTCCTTATAAAATAATCCCTTTGTACTTGACTCATAAAGACTCTCATTCCCTGAATGCTAATGTGCAGAGCTGCTTACATGTTTAAAAATTTCACAATGTAGCTTGGCACCGTGGTTCACACCTGTAATCCCAGCACTTTGGGAGGCTGAGGCGGGCGGATCACCTGAGGTCGGGAGTTCGAGACCACCCTGACCAACATGGAGAAACCCTGTCTCTACTAAAAATACAGAATTAGCCAGGCGTGGTCATCCATGCCTGTAATCCCAGCTTCTTGGGAGACTGAGGCAGGAGAATTGCTTGAACCCGCGAGGTAGAGGTTGCGGTGAGCTGACATGGCGCCATTGCACACCAACCTGGGCAACAAGAGTGAAACTCCATCTCAAAAAAAAAAAAAAGTTCACAATGTTTTAATTCAGCTACTAGGCTCAATCCTTTCAGTATAATTCTTTTTATGGCGGGGAGGGGGAACAGGGTCTTGCTATGGTGCCAGGCTGGACTCAAACTCCTGGGCTCAAGCAATCCTCCCCAGAAGCTTGGGCTACTGGCATATGCCACCATGTCAGGCTAGTATTATTCTGTTTTTTTCTTTTCTTTTCTTTTTTTGAGACAGAATCTTGCTCTGTCATCCAGGCTGGAGTGTAATAGCACAATCTCAGCTCACTGCAACCTCTGCTTCCTGGGTTTAAGCAATTCTAGTGCCTCAGCCTCCCAAGTAGCTGGGATTACAGGCAGCTATTTTTTTTTTTTTGTATTTTTTATTAGAGACGGGGTTTTGCCATGTTGGCCAGGTTGATCTCAAACTCAAGGGATCTATTCACCTCATCTCCCAAAGTGCTGGGATTACAGGCCATGAGCCACCATGCCTGGCATATAACTCTGTTTTCAAAGAGCAACGTTTATTCCAGGAGAATTTCTATGAACTAACCATACATTTAAGGTTTTCAGTGACAATTTGGTTTATCCATGAGTGTGTATGTGTGCTTGGTGGCAGGGAAAGAGCGTGGTGGAAGGAGGTCCAGAGACATTAAATGCAGGGCTTCTACTAGGTGTAGCGCAGAGGGTGGGGTTTGTATTTCTAGGATGAAACTAGAATACAGGTTCTTGGTGAGACAGCCTGAAATACTAAGATCCAGCAAGGCCTGCCCTGTGGAAAGATCCTATGGAAAGCATAGGTCCAGACACTAACCAGGGAGGTAATATACAATCACTAACTTCAGAGGGCCAAGGAGAAAGAGGAGCCAAGATCACAGAGTCAACAGTTAGGAATTAGGAAGGGATTGCATCAAAATAAAAGCAGGGCTGGAATAAACTGGGAGAAAGCTGAGCCATTATTATTCCTCTTCATGGGCAGATGGGAACAGCAGTGGGTTGAACTGGTTTAGGGAACTATAATCAATATATCATCACTTTACTTTCCAGTGTATTAAATGGGAGATCTTGAGGTGTCTTTGTTGTTGTTGTTGTTTTAGAGGTAGGGGCTTGCCTTGTTGCCCAGGCTGGAGTGCAGTAGCTCAGATAGATCACTGCAGCCTCAAACTCCTGGGCTCAAGCAATCCTCCCACCGCAGCCTCCCAAGTAGTTGAAACTACAGGAGCTTGCCTCCATGCCTGGCTAATTTTTTATATTTTTAGAGACAGGGTCTCACTATGTTGTCCAGGCTGGCATCAAACTCCTGGCCTCAAGCAATCCTCTGTCTTAGCCTTCCAAAGGAGTGGGATTACACGCATGAGGAAGCTTGACCTTTGAAAATTTTATCTATTTACTTACTTATTATTTATGTATGTATGTATTTATTTATTTTAACAAGGATGGCACATCAGGCCACTCACTCATCCCTTTAACTAACTTATAGGGTAAAATATGTGAAATCAGCTATGCACACCATTCATCATCAACTTCTAATCCCTTACTTGTTAAGAAGCATGGGCTGTCACAGTTCTCTAGACATATCTGTTCCACCTTGGTTTAATAATTCAGTTCTATAAACATTTGGTGAGCACTTATTGCCACAGTTCATTCCTTTTCAAACACATTTTGAAAAACATTTTGACATTTCCTGAATTTGGGACTCATCTTCAAATTGATGGTATGTCACAGAATAATTGTCAGGGTTTTTTTCTTAGTAATTCATGAAATAATGGTATGTCTTACAATTGGTGGCCTTTTAGATTTGATGAAATAAGGTAAGTACTAGGCTGGGGATATGGGAATAGAAGTGTTTATGAATAAGACAACTGTGTGACCTCAAGGAGCTTACTTATGCAGCTAAATAAAACAATATGATAAGAGCTATACCAGCAATGCTGATCTAAAGTGCTGTGGGAGCATAAAAGAGGATCAATTAATTCTTCCTGTGAGGCTGGGAACGACTTCGTAAAGGAGGCGACATTTGAACTGGACCTTGAGGGATATGAAGGATTTTTTCCAGACAAAGCATGGGAGTAGGAGGCAGGAGCATTTCTGGAATGTGAATATGAAAGGTTTATTTGGCTTCAAAGAGGACTCAGCAGCAATGAATTAGAGCACTGGGATGTTACGTGTGGCTGATTTTTTGTTTGTTTGTTTTTTGAGATGGAGTCTCGTTCTGTTGCCCAGGCTGGAATGCAGTGGCACAATCCCTGCTCACTGCAACCTCCGCCTCCCACCTCCCAGGTTCAAGCGATTTTCCTGCCTCAGCCTCCGGAGTAGCTGGGATTACAGGTGCTGCCACCACGCCCAGCTAATTTTTGTATTTTTACTAGAGATGGGGTTTTGCCGTGTTGTCCAGGCTGGTCTCAAATTCCTGACCTCAGGTGATCCACCTGCCTCAGCTTCCCAAAGTGCTGGGATTACAGGCATAAACCGCCTCGCCTGGCCATCTTGCTGATTTTTAAAATCTTGTTTGAGGTTCTACCCTGAAAACTACTGTGAATTCCAACATTTTTGCTCATTTGCAGATAGACTGGATAATGGTGTCCTCACAACGTAAAGACCAAGTTCCAGATAACGAACTGCAGAAAACCGTTTCGGTTACGCTACTCTACCTTTGGCTGCTATCAGTTTTGTTCTGGAAACAAAAGACCTAAGAGATTTTGGTCATAAGCCAAATCTGCCATGAGTAGACTGGTTTCAAGGAGATGTATGAAGGGGAAACATCACAGTTGCTCCTCTCTCCAAAGAAGCATAGAGGTTGAGTGCAGACTTCGGTTATCCACTTACTAGCTGTGTGACCTTGGGCAACTTGTGTAATTCTCTGTAGCTCAGTTTCCTCATCTTGTAAGGCAGGGTTCATAAATAGTGTTTTTGAGAGGCAAGATGAGATCACATGCAGTCAATAAATGTCATCCTTGTTATCATTATTACCTGATCGACAATGGGAAATCGAACAAATCTACCTGCCACTTCCCAGCTATTACTCTCACCAAGCTTTTTACATGTAGTATGATGGAGTCTCGTTCTGTCGCCCAGGCTGGAGTGCAGTGGCACAATCCCGGCTCACTGCAACCTCTGCCTACCACCTTCTGGGTTCAAGTGATTTTCCTGCCTTGTGTAATTCTCTGGAGAGAATATGATGAACTAATTAATAGTATGTGTATCAGTGATGTGTGCATACGTTTGGGAAGGTGGAACAATTTGCAGAGAAGACATTTTGGTTTTATTAGTATATGAGGCCTTAAGGCAAAGTAACAAATC